AGCTACTTGGGAGGCTGAGGCAGGAGACTCGCTTGAGCCCAGGAGTTGGAGGTTGCTGTGAGCTGTGATGTCACAGCACTCTACCCAGGGGCTCAGCTTGAGGCTCTGTCTCAAAAAAAAAAAAAAATTTTTTTTAAGTGTTGTGGATAGCTGCTCAGTGAATTTATTTACATCATTGTTGGTTGCTGATTTAACACTAATATGAAAATAAGCACACATTTGTGTCTGTCCTGTGTTTTGACCTTAGAATAGTCTCTTTAGAACTAGTATTAGAAAGCGTAGTTCTGTAGGAAATGGAGACGAGGAGTGTGCGCCCTGGCCATATGTCCTCACAGTGATGGGCAGACTGGGGACCACAGGCCAGGGAGGTGACAGGACTCAAGGACCTTCTCTTGGACGAAGCGTAGACTTTTGGGGGGAGGTAAGATCTGAGAATGGTAAAGGAAACATTTCAGTAAAATAGAAGGCAGAAACTTACCAGTAATCGGTGGATAGTAGGGAGGAGTGCCTGGCCTGTGGGGGGACCAAGCTTCTGGCAGCTAATGTCAACTCCAAAGTGGGGTTTTCATGTGTTAGAGCAGTGGGACGGGCTTCCTCAGTGAGGGGAGATTGAACTGAGGTTTTTCACAAAGCCAGCATTTTTATTTCTAAGTCGTTATCTAATACTGGTATTTGATTTTTTACATGAGAGAGGGAGTTTACTAGAAGCAAAGCAGTGCATGTTGGTGCACACACAAATGGCTCAAGTCCTCCAAAGTTTCAGGCACTCATAATGTGTGGGGCATTATTATTTTTAATTATTTTCAAATTTAGAATCCTTCAATCTTAAACTTCTTTTTCAGGGATATCATGATAACGCATTTTGAACCTTCCATCTCCTTCGAGGGCCTTTGCAGTGAGGTTCGAGACATGTGCTCTTTTGACAACGACCAGCTGTTCACCATGAAGTGGATAGACGAGGAAGGTGAGTGGTGGAGGGGCTGCCTGCGGGAGCGTCTGCCTAGGGCTTACTCTGTCTTTGCTTTAAAAAGATAAAAGTCCTAATAAATTTTGGGGGGAAAGATATATTAGAAATTTGGGGCTCGGCGCCTGTGGCTCAAGCAGCTAAGGCGCCAGCCACGTACACCTAAGATGGCAGGTTCGAATCCCCAGCCCGGGCCAGCCAAACAACAATGATGGCTGCAACCAAAAAATGGCCAGGCGTTGTGGCGGGCGCCTGTGGTCCCAGCTACTTGGGAGGCTGAGGCAGGAGACTCGCTT